AAAAATTTTAAAAGATAAACGTTCATATCCTAACAATAGATTTCGCTGCGTTAGGATTTATTTCGATAAGTTCAATACTGTGCATGTTGTTTGACGTTCCTCACAGAACCCAACAATATGTTCAGCAAAGGAGAAAGATGAATGCCATATCTAGAATAGTTTCAATTAGGGGAGAGGATTTCTGCACTCAACAGGAAATGGAAACTCACATTGAGGACTTCTATTCACAACTTTTTGCTACAGAAGGTACCATAGGTGGAGATTCCATTATTCAACAAATTCCTCAAACAATATCAGAGGACATGAACACTGCCCTTTTGCAACCAGTTGATGAAGAGGAGATAAATGAGGCTCTATTCCAACGTAACCCAAAGAAATCCCCGGGAGAGGACGGTATGAATGCTCTTTTTTACCGACAATTCTAGAATCTGATCAAAGTTGATTTCATTTCTGCTATCAAGAGCTTTTTTCAGTCTGGTTCTCTTTTGCATTATTGGAATCATACCATTATGTCTCTTATTCCAAAATGTGCTGTCCCAGAGTCCTTAAATCAATTTAGACCAATTAGTTTATGCACTGTGGTCTATAAAGTGCTCTCTAAAATTCTTGCCCAAAGGCATAGCTGCATCAACCATTCTCAATCAACTTTTCTAATAGGAAGACAACTTTTGGACAATGTAATCATAACACATGAAGCTTTCCATTTTCTTAATAGGCACAACTCTGGGATAAATTGGTTTATGGCTATTAAATTGGATTTGATGAAGGTATTTGACAGAGTTGAGTGGTTAAGTTTGAAGCAAATAATGATTCAGATGGGTTTTAGCAAAGAATTTGTTAAATTTATCCTTGTGTGCATCTCCACGTCTACCATGTTCTTCAAAGTCAATGGCACTGTTTGTGGATACATTAAACCAACAAGGGGGCTCAGGCAGGGAGACCCCCTATCTCCATACTTGTTCATTATCATTGCTGAGGTTTTATCTGCTCTAATTATGGATGTTGTGAATGGTGGTCAGTTGAATGGTTTGAAAATCTCTAGAAATGGTCCCCTGTTATCACATCTGCTCTTTGTAGATGATTCATTGTTGTTCTGTAGAGCAGGGGATGACCAAGCACAGAATATCCTCAACTTGTTGGCCAGATATAAATTATTTACAGGTCAAGCGGTCAATTTGCAGAAATCTGCTATTTTCTTTAGCAGAAATACCCCATCTCATATCCAGTAGAGAATCTGTTCAACTCTTCATGGAATTCATGCTCATAGATCTACGAGATATCTTGGGCTTCCTCTTGGAATTGGTACATCCAAGAAGGAAGTCTTTGATTATTTGATAGAGTCAGTTTAAATGAAGCTGCAAAGTTGGAAAGCTAAGCTGTTATCTCTAGCTGGCAGTGTTGATTAAGTCAGTTCTACAAGCCCTCCCAACCTTCACAATGTCATGTTTTAGACTTCCATTGTCCATCTGCAAGGAAATTTCTAGGATCTGTGCTCACTTCTGGTTGAAAACAAATGAAGAAAATACCTCAGGCATTCACTGGAAAAGTTGGACCAAGATGACTATTGCTAAGCAGAATGGGGGCATGGGGTTCCAAGACATTCATCTCTTCAACAAGGCATTAATTTGCAAACAGTTATGGAGAATTTCTACTCAGCCACAATTACTAGTAAGTCAAGTCCTTCAAGAGAGATACTTTCCTAATACATCTCTTTTTCAGGCTGCAAAATCTCCCAATGCCTCATGGCTTTGGAACAGTTGGCTTGACACTCTTCCAATCATTTCCAAATGGATGAGAACAGAAATCAGAAGTGGTATTCAAACTAGAATTGAGGACTGCAATTGGGTCCCTTCTTTGAACAAGGCAAAAGCCTGAATTGATTGAAATAGCTCGAGGACATCTCATTTATGTGAAAAACCTTCTGCTGGATGATGGCTCTGATCAGAATTAATGGCTGGTGCAACAAGTTTTTTATGAAGAGGACAACAAGGCTATTCTGGCAATCAAATCTCTGAAACCAGGAGAAGCTGACAGAATTTATTGGGGATTAGACAGTAAATGGAAATTTTCAGTTTCTTGCACTTATAACTTTCTTGCTCAGCAGAAAGCTCTCTCTTTTGATCAGCTTAAAAGCAGTTCTTCTTCTAAGCAGAATATTCTTCTAAGAAGTTGGACTTTGAAGATTCCCAGCAAAATCAAATTATTCATTTGGAAATGCCTTAGTGGTTCCTTGCCTGTCTTGATCAACTTGCAAAAGTAGGGACTAGATATAGACCCCTGCTGCAGATGCTGTGGAGAATAAACCACTTATCAGGCTCCTTCAAATCTTGATGGTGGTACCAAGTCTGCTCAATTCCAAAATCTGCCACAGCCACCAATAGGATCTAACTAACCACTTATTTGTTATGGTGGTTGTGGAAGACAAGGAACAACTTGATCTTCCAAAATCTCTTCCACCGGTGCACATTGCTATCAAGGCTGCTATTGGGGAATGACAGGAATATTCTTATATTAGTTTGCCTAGTTTTTGATCTTTTCTTTCTCTTTATTTGATTATAGAAGTGCTTGCTAGGCCTTATGGTAGTGGTTGGGGCTTCTATAGTTGTTTTCTAGTTCTTGTAGTTGATCTAGGCCATCATGTTGATAAGCATCTCAATTTTATTTTTCGGACTTATTAATCTTCCCCGGTTGTATTAGAACATTGTTCTCATTCGAGTTATATATCATCTTCTATCGTTCTGAAAAAAAAAAGAACTTTATTTTATGATATAGTTATGTGAATAAAATAATTATTTTATTTGAAATTTATATTTTACATACTTATTATAATAAAAAGTTATAAATATAATTAATAAAATTACCATAATAAGAAAAGGAATTTGCATAAATTAAATATATGAAAAAGTTCAATAAATTTATTTTCAAAAATTGGTTAAAGGATTTGAAATATATAACTAAAATATTATTTGTTATTAATACTCTAAATGTGTAATAGAAGTATGAAATAATATTTAAATACGATTTTTAATCACTTTTTAATTTTCTATTCTATTACATATTTTAATTTTTCTTAATTTAATAAATATTTAAATTATTAATAAAAATAATATTTAAATTACAATTATCTTATTCATTTTAAAATAAAAATCTATTCAACTTTTGCCTAAATATAACTTATATTGATTACCTCATTTTAAGTTAATCGTTAAATATAATTAATATTTTTACATAAATATGTAAATATAGATTATAAAAAATAATATTATGGTTCACAGAACAATGCTCACCTACCCACGGTGGGCACATGTTAATATGTCCACCGTGGATGTGGCATGCACACATTGGTGATGTGAATATGTTAAAAAAAATAAATCACCAATGTATGCATGCCACATAAGCGGTGGGCATATTAACATATGCCCACGGTGGGTAGGTGAGCATTACTCATGGTTCACATCCTTATGTCAAAGAGTAAAGTTGGTTAGAATAGCATATAATGTAAATCTTCTATTGACATAATAAAATTAATGCCTTAAATTGATATAATTCCAAAAAGTTGAGCATTGTAATAGAATTTATGTTATTGTTCTTATTTAAGTCAAAAGTAAAGTTTTGATGATCCAAAAAGTTGAGTATTGTAATAGAATTTTTGTTATTGTTCTTATTTACATCAAAAGTAAAAAGTTTGTTGGTGCCTTACGAAATTGAATATTGCACAAAAGTAAAAAGTTTGTTTGTGCCTTAGTAAAAAGTAAAACATAAAAATATGCCTCAGATTTACAACTTCTTAAAATTAAAACTACCAATTGAGAAAGAATAAAATTGAATAGTGCATTGACACAATTCCAATGGACCTTATAATGAAGCTTTCTCCTTTCTAGTATTGCCAAATTGGGTATTTCCCAAACTAATCCCTCCTTGTATATTAATTCAGTATATTAATTCAAAACGTGTTGAACCCAGATGACAGATTCTCACACTTCAGATGCTGACATGCCGAAAATCTATGCTTCGTGATGTTGTTTTTATATTATTTTTGCTATGAAATTAAATTTGATATTAGACAAATAACTTTATACATATATTCCTAACTCAACACCCATGTTGTACATGAGTATTAGTAATATAATTCAAAATCCACACTTCTGGAAACTGACATTCTAACGCCCTTTTTTCACGTGGAAGAAAAGATTTAACAAGAGAAAACACCACCTTCACGGTCAGATTTCCTACATTTTCCTAATCATTGTAACAAGAAGAAAAGATTGTGAATTTTATGAATAAATACCAAGCCCTGAGGTCATGCCACCATGACTAGTCACCAAAATCTTCATTCTCGCAAATCTTCTCCCAAACATGTAACAAAGTACCCCAAAAACAAAATGCACCCACGACATTCGAATGAGACTCATCTCAAAGAATATCGATCAAATAGTATCCAAAATACCTAAAATCTTCAATCATAGACTGGCCACAACATATGTTCCATGATGATTTAAGAGATAAATCATCAAGTCACAAACTCCGAATAGCATCCAAAGAACTTCCTCGCATTTAGAGCCTGAATCATTAACATAAAAAAAATGCTCCACAACTTCCCTAGCATTGCCTTAACTTGTCTTTACTATATAGTAAAACACAAACAATCAGATGAACAGTATATATAGAGAAAAAAAGATAAGAATATGAGCTCCATAATATAGAATTCCAACTCAAACAATTTTTTGGAAAGATAATCCATTAATTAAAAAGAAAGGAAACGATCATTATCCTAACCTCAACAGCCGGAAACAACCACCAGCCTATGAAGCAAAAGAAAGGAGAATCAATTTAATGCCTTTGCGAAAAGAGTCAAACATCCGAGAATTACAAACAAGTATCACGATTAGGAAAATCTCAAGGGCTTAAATAAATTGCACGTGGCCACAAGATTGTATATACATGAGAAAAAAAGGACCAAATGCAATCGTCAGCACGCACACATTCAAACCTCCCCCAATCTACCTGATGATCACAAACTTGTTGGTGCCGTGCTTCGCCCAGTAAGTCCTCAGGTCGATTGGGTTTGCGAAATTATACCCTTCCCCCGCCAGCTTCTCCAGAACCTTCTTGAATGCCCCCTGGCTCATCTTTCGGCCCGCGATCCGAGCTCCACGCCTCTTTGTGCTCATTGGGAGTGGGTACATGGAAATGGTGGTCGTGCAACATGCAGACTGCCAGCCCCCACACCCCCATCTGTAGCACTGCTGTGGGGCCCCCGTGCATGAGCACACGGGGATGGGTATGCCCGTAATATCCATGTCCACCCCATTTATTACAACCTCAACATTCTTCTTTGCGCGTGGGGTGGAGTTATTACTATTACTGTCTTTATTATTCTTAGTATTGCTGTTACTACCGTTATTACCATTTTCCTTGGGGCCTGGTCCTCTCCTCGGCTTCTTCGCCTTGGGGGCCTTCGGGGCCGACCCGCGCTTCTTGGAAGGCCCGGGTCCAAGCCCGGGCCCGTCCTCCTTCTTGGTGAAGGGTTCCTCAATGCTGGATCTCGTCTCCGGCTGTTGGTGCGTGTGGACCACCATCTGCATGGATTGATGTGGGCCTGCTGCAGAGGTGTCGGCCAGGACAGGGCTGTAGGGGCTTCTAGATAACATGTGAGGGAATTTATCGCAGTGGTTGATCCAGCTGTCGCGCACGTAGTCCATGTGAGTGACGGGTGGATTGGTGACGATGCAGTCCCTAGGGTGATACGAGCCATTGGATGGGACCATCACAGGATTGTGATCTCGGCCTGGTAAGAAAGGCTTTGTATCCCGCTCAGCGGCCACAGAGGACATGAGCTGGAGCCCAAGGTGGCCCTTCACGGGTGGTTCATAGTAACCCCAATTCCGGAGACTGTCCTCGTCCATGTGCAAGGCTGCATAACATGATAAAAGGATCAACACCTGTTAGGTCATGAGAATGTTGCGATTTTCGTTGGTGTGCTGTCCGGAAATGCCAAGAAATCCAAAATGAACGATGGGGCAAGTAAATAAAAGGGCTTCTGCAACTCACTTTTAGCAATGCAGATGTTGCATTTTTCATTAATGTGAGAGCCACACATATCATGAAACCCACTTATCGTACATTGTCTAGTAAGTAAAAACAGAATGGGTATGCATACAGCTAAGATTTGCAAATTTGGAAATTTGAGTTAGCTTCCAACATATGATGAAAATGAGAGAAATGTCAACCAGGAAATGCTTATCTAAATGGAAATGAAACATATGCCCTAGATTCTGTGTCTTCCAATTCTTTCCACATATAATCATGCAATTTTAGGGGATTCCTTACAAATTGCTCAACAGGGCATATCAAATTCAATAAAAATTGACATTGACAAAACGAACCCATTTGGATTTGAAAGACAGAACAATCAGAAAACCGATATAAACGTGAGATCTAAAACGCGCAATAAAACAACAGCATCAATTATAAATTCTTCATCACCCTTTCGATCGGACAATGTCAATTAAACAGAGAAATAGTGGGCAGATCTGCTCGTCTACTGACAAATTCATCAAGGAATAGATAACAATTATAGATCAAATATACAAACATCCTCGGAGATACAAGATTCCGGTCGAAAAGATTCAGTTTTGGACATCATCACACAGATCTAATGCACACAACCACATATCAACAGATCTGCACTTGTAATTAGAAAAAACGACAGAATTAAACAGAACATCAAACGCATGGCCGATAATAAATTTTCAAAAAATTGAGGCACATAATAAAGAATCCAAATAGTAGGGAAGGGGAGAGAGAGAGAGAGAGAGAAACACAGGTAAATATATTTTGAAAGAGAGAGGGAAAGATAAGAGCGAGGAGAGAGAGAGAACTTACTCGTGGGTAAACAGCTCTTTTAGGTTTTTTTTCCTTCAGGGAGGAGAGAGGAGAGAGAATTGAGAAAGGAGAGGAACCAGAGAGAGAGAGAGAGGCCCTCAAGATTGAGTTTTTAAATCAAATAGATAGATAGATTTCGGGATTTAATAAAAGGATGGCAAAATCTACCATATCAATATATAAAATATACTAGTAGCATGCACAATAAAATTATAAAATATTATAAATGGTGTATATATCACATTTTATAAATTTTATTAAAAAAAAGTATTTAACTATACATGAATTTGTATGTTTTTCTTTTCGAAAAATAGAGCTATTATATAGAAGCGCACAAATGTGCAAAAGTGCATCCACTACTTGAATACTAACAGCTAACAGCTAATAAAACTTTAAGGACATGTCAAAAAACCGTCTAGAACCGACCCCAAAAGAATAAAATTTTAGAACACAAAAACACAATGACACTAAAAAGAGAATAAAAAAGAAAAAGAAAAAGATATTATATTTGTATGTTGAATGCATAAAATTTAATACATAATTTATTTTTATTAATATAAGGACCAATTTACCTAAAAATATAATGAAATATAATTTATTATTATTATTGTTATAGAATTTTTAAGTTTTTTTTTCATCTGGACTAACTTAATTAGATGATTAAACAACTAACATTACTTTAGAATAAATAGCTTGATAAAATAGGCGTATAATTTTTTTATGATTATGTAACTTACACATACCATTTAGTATAAATTATAATTAGTTGATTTTGGTAATCCCATTATATATAATTCTCGAATGTGCTAATCCTAAGTGGTAAGCTCGCATACTTCGAAATCTTAGGTGTCAAAATTCCATGCTTTGTTATTTGACTTGTATAGATTTTAATTTAATTTCAATCCAAACTAATTAAGTTCGAAAAATTACCATAAATATATTGATTTATTTATGATCATTTTAGATGTATTAATGGTATTTAATATCATTTCCTATTATAACTATTGAATTGTAAATGTATTTTAAAAGTTTATAACTTTTGTATTTTTTAGCAGTTTTACATATATAATGTATCAAATTAATCATCTTTTGATGAGTTTTGATTTGACATCCATATTGCATATATAAAATAAATAAGTTATATATATATCTTTACAATAATAAAAAAATATTTATTAAAATTAATTAAAAAATAAAATTATTTCTCAATTAATATATTCATTTTTAATGTAGTTATATATTATAAGTTAGAAAAAAATTATTATTATATAACACATGTAAGTCGCACAAGTAACAAGTGTCATACTAAAATTTAATATATATCTATAAGTATTAAATTTTCAACTATTTTTTCTCATTAATTTTAAAATTTAAGAAAAAATTTAACAAGCACCGGTGTAATACACGGGCCTTGTGCTAATAACTATTATATGATAGAATAATTAATAAAATATAATTGCACTTGATATTTTAACGTAATTAATTAAGACATTAGGCAGGAAACTTGGTAATTTACATTAGTTTGATAGCCTAAAATTATACTTAGGCCTTATTATGCTATTAGTATTTAGTAATTGCTTGTCTCATTTGGGTCATAATATGTTGGCACCTAACTTTGATTAGCCTTGTTACTTCATTTTAGTTAGAAGTTAAAAGTCGCATTTTACTTCTATTAGTCTTGTTAATTCAGCTATAAATACTGCGACTGTAACTCATCTTGGCCATATTGAATAAAACATAGTTGGTTACATATCTCTTAGCTCGTATACACTCTCCATTTTCACTTGATACTCGAGCTAGGTCAAATCACATAGGAACATGACGAACGCCTGGAACAAGACGGCATGGCCGCTGCTCAATGCCGGAGATGGGAATTCGATCTCAAGTTCAGATCTATGAGGCGGTTCAACTCCAGAATCCTATTCTGATAACTTTGGGACGATTCAGGTTTCGCATCAATTGATGGGGATGAATTTACTTTTATGAAAGAAATAATGACAGTCGCATTAGGAGTTAAATCGAAGCTTGGCTTCATCAATGGTTGGATCACTAAACCGACGAGAATGATGATGAAGCCTGAAAAATAGATTACATAATTATATCATGAATTTTGAAGACATTTTTCTAAAGACGTTGTTGAGAGCTTTGTGTATTCAAACAATGAAAAAGAGTCGGGGGGTTAATATAGCAAGGAGGTATGGACACTGTAATGGTTCGTTGTTTCACAAGTTACAGAGAGAGATTACTAGTATTAGCTAAGGTCATGACGCCATTGTAGAGTAATTCTCTCGTATTAAAAAGCTATGGGATCAATATGATAATGTGAAGTCACCAACAATTTTTAGTCCTCCACTCGGGAGGAATGTGATTGAACATGAAACCAAACAAAACTGCTACAATTTCTCACATGTTTATATGATATATATGAGCATATGAGGTCACAAATTCTGTCGATAGAGCCTCTGCTAGAAGTGGATAAAGCTTACTCCACGCTAGTTAAGGTTGAGCAACAAAAGAACACTAGCCTGGCTTATACCAATCAATTTGAGAGTTCAACCATAGTGAAAAACACCTTTAGTAGGGGAAATAGTGGATATACAAGAAGAAGAAATTACAATACTGCAAATAGATGAAATAGTACATGAAGAGGTGGATGTAGAAGAAGCAAAGAAGAAAGGTCAAACTAATTTTGAACATTGCGAAATTCCTAGGTTTTAAATGGCTGAGTGTTTCAAATTTCATTGAATACCAGAGTGGTATCATAAGCTTAAGGAGCAACATAAGCCAAAGGGTTATGCCAATGTAGCATCTGAATTCATCTGGTTTGGAGAAGGGTTTATATAAAGGAGAAAGCTCTACTAGTATTACCTTGTTCATTCAACAAGAGCTACAAAAGTTCTTCAACACAGAGGGAGGAAAAAATGGTGAACCTCATGAGACAGATTATGTGCATTTTGTCAACTCAACAAGTATTGAATCTGATATCCTCTCTCATTATGCTTTGAATACATATGAAGACATAAGTAATGGCTCTTGGGTATTAGACACTGGTTCTAGTAGACATATGTGCATTGATAAAGGTCTCATACATAACCTTAAACCTATCTTCCCAATCATTCATGTTCACTTACCAAATGGTACAACATTTCATGTTACACAGACTGGTATTGGGAAGATTTCTTCAGACATTATTTTACATGATGTTCTTTACATACTTGGGTTTAAATATAACCTTCTTTCAATTTGACAATTGACACTTCAGAAACACATGAAGTGTATTTTTTTACACCATCCATCTTCTTCTTACAGGTCCTTGAAACAAAAAAAAAAAA